AAACATGAGTAATATGTTATTATATTAGATTTTAAAATAATTTTTACAGGTTGAACGGGAGTAAAAACCCTGTTCTTCGGATGTCACACTCGATACGCGCTTAGAAAAACCTTTAATAACTTCTTGGTCTGCAAAGCTTTATGTATGTTTTGTATGTCAAAATAATGATTAATGATTTACAGAATATTAAATAATGCCAAAAATAAAATTAAAAATTAGGGTAAATAGCAAATGCATTTTGTCATTGTTAGAATTGCTAAAACGTGTTTAGCAATTCTAACTCAAGGTGGTGTGGAAATGAGTTCTTGGCCAAAATTCGCGTTGGAGTACACTTTACGGCGCACAGTGTATTATGAAACCCATTTTTCGGACGTCTGCTTTTTATTAAAAAATCCTGAAGTTTCAATCATTTAAAATGCTAGAGTAGCACTCCAGAGTGGTAAAAACGCTTAGTTTTGAAAAAAAAAAATCTTTGAAAATTTGGTTTTATTTCCCGGTTATTTTTTTAGAAAAAATTCCTTCTCTTAAAGCAAATATATTTTGAATATATGACAAATGTTATTAGAAAGCATTTTACAAGCTTCATCTTTAAGAGCTATTAGCGCCCTTGTGGCTGCCTTAGAACAGGTGAAATAACTTTTTTCAGTTTTTCGTTTTTATTTTATTATTCAGATAATACACCGTATTTGGAAAAGTTATCCAAATAAAAATGAAGGTCCCAAATCCTTCTACCTACCACAAACAAATCACGTCCAAATTGCGTGGAGTCTATATGATACAGCCTGTTTTGTAAATAACCGGGTTTTTTTTCATTAGGGTTGACACTATTCACAAATTCAAAAATATCCGGAATATTAGGGTATAATCATAGGGTAATATGATCATAGGGTATGTAATATAATTTAAATGCTAGCTTTTACCCGCGGCTTCGCCCGTGTAATTTGTTTTTAATCGCACGGACGTCGGACCACGCGCAATGTAGGGTTTGTAGTTTCCCATAAATTTTCAATAGAATTTGTACATTTTTTCTTCTCCAAGTACCTTTTATAAGTTGTGTTTGAAATAAATTTAGGTACTTAATAGAATTTTCATTTCACATATTGCATAATTTATTAAAACTAAATAATATTATGTATTTTCAACATTATATAGTTTCTTGTTATATTACACACCACACGTGGGACTTAAACCACCCACCCACCTTAGATAAAATTCCGGATATTGAAAATTCAAAAAAGTAACAACCCTGATCGAAATATTTAATTGAACACAGCTTCTAAACTCCACGCAATTTGGATGTGATTTTTTATTGGTAGGTAGAAGGATTTAGGACCTTCATTTTCATCTGGATAACTTTTCCAAATACGGTGGATTATCTGAAAAATAAAATAAAAACGAAAAACTGAAAAATAATAATTTCTCCTTTTCTATGGCAGTTACGAGGTCGCTAATAGCTCTTAAAGATGAAGCTTGTAAAGTGCTTTCATTTCACTTATGACATATATTTAAAATATGTTTGCTTTAGGGAGAAGGAATTTTTCTAAAAAAATATCCGCAAAAAAAAAAAACAGATTTTCAATTTTTTTTTTCCAAAACTAAGCATTTTTGATACTCTGGAGTGCTACTCTAGCGTTTTAAATGATTGAAACTTCAGGATTTTGTAATAAAAAGCAGACGTCCAAAAAATGGGTTTCATAATACACTGTGCGGCGCTCTTACGCCAAAACTATTGACTTTATGAAAAAAAAGGTTGATACTTAAATTGTAGGCAATTGTCTCTAGTTTCATTTTGTATTAACTGTTTTTATCGTAAAATGAGTTGGAAAGGAGATATTGTCAAAAAATTGCTTTTAGGTACTTTTTGGCAGGATCGGGAAGCGTCACTTTAGCAGTTTTGTTTTTCTTGTTAAAAATTGTGTTTTAGTGGATGTTAGTGTCTAATAATGGTGGATTATTAACCACTAAGTGAAACAAAATAGCGGAAAGTGTCTTTGGACGTTCCCTCAAGAAGTCCACGGGGAGGTTCCAGTAAATCCCCACACATTTACTGAAACATAGGGAAAGGGGGATTGACTTGACTGCCACTTACTTTGACTTGATTTATTATTTTGACCACGAGTGCTATTGAATTTGTAAACATTTTTAATACATTGGCTAAATGCACAAGCCGTGCGATACCATTTAGGAAAAAAAAAACTGCTTTTAGGCGCTAGCGGCAAAAATACGAGGTGGCAAAGTCGAAATTCGGAAAGAGCACCACAAAATCTATAAAATTACCAATTTTCAAAAGTCCTGGAAAACTTTCCAGGTAAAACTACCAAATGACTGTACTAATTGTATAATGTTCAAAACCTTTTTTCAACGCTGTAAAACCAGAGTTGGCACTAATTTACTTATAGTATTTGCAGTTACTCTCATTATCGGACTAGCAGTGGAAGATTTTAGATGAAATTTGTTCTTATTTTGGTAGCAGCAAGTTCGTTTCGTAACTTTCATGGGCCCAAAAAATACAAGATTAAATATCTTGGTACATTTTAAACCAATTTACATATTTAATAGATGTTACATCTTATTATTATGTCTTCCATATTATAATGATTTCATATTTCCTAAAAACTCAAAATAAAATTTTGCCAGAAATGTTGGATGAAGAACGGTTTTCGAAGAATTAACCCTCTGAGATTTGACACTCAAAGACTCTTTATATTGCAGAACCTCTCAAGTTGGACGGGCAAAACGTAAACGGGCATCTTCTCCGAAGACCTTAACATACACATTTCAATAGCACTGAGAGCCTATAAATCGGTCTTCCAGTTAGTGTGTGGGCATAATTAGGGCCGCAGAGGCGGTAGAATGTCGCAGGGTAAGAGTTACACAAACGTATCTATTCTGACAGCGCTTCTGTCCTGCAGACGCTGGACAACAATATATTGACATTAGGGACACTCTACGAATGCCACTGTAAGTTGACTAATATGTAACGACAATATGCTGACCATAAAATGGTTTTAAGAACACCGTGGTTCAAGGGGCAATGACGGCTATTGGCCCAGACCCAATCTTAAATATACTTTTTGACAGGTGAGGAACTGGATAAGGGGGAGCTGTCAATGACAACATGACGAATACTGGCCAACACAAGACAAATCTCATGGACTGCAGGAAAGTTAGGGATGCTGTTTTAAGGTAAACCTGCAGCTATCGCGTAAGTTAATCAGACTACTTAGACAAGCCTTGAAATAAATTGTAGGTATACTCACGGGTCACGACTATTTTAACAAACACCTTTGTACTTTAAGTATTTCTGACAGCCCTCTATGCACAGCCTGCTTGGAGAAGGAAGGGACGAGCGCTCACGTTCTGCTAGAGTGCAGAGGCGTTGCAAGATAAAGAACTTATCTACTGGGAAATTCAGTGCAGCAGCTTTCGTAGGACTACCGGAATTTCTGGAGGAGCTGGGATGGCAGGACTAATGCCATCTCTAACGCAAAATAGGCACATGATGTTAAGTTGCGGAAACAGCCCGCCATACTACTAAGACTGGACGGCGAAATTAAGCGCTTTCACCTTATGGAGATAATAGAAAGTAAAATGTTTATCGATACTCTTTCGATCTAGCGCACGAAAGGTAAACATAATAATAAATAGTTCATCCTTAATACAAATAGCCAAAGATATAGATAAATTTCCTATTTGTATACCGACATGTCTAACAATTTAACAATTAATCATAAACACAATTGACCTGACTACTGACTGAAAAACGCTAACGTAAATTTTAACAGGTTCAATAATTCTCTATTTTATGTCAAAGATATTTTTTTAGGTTTTTCTGATTTACCTTTTTTATGTGAAGATGTTTTTTTAAAGTTCTTAAACAACTTTAACAAAGTAGTTGGTAAAAAAAATAAGGCAAAAAACTTACAGCGGAGAAAATTGAAAAAAAAAAAATTATAAAACTTAATATTTGGATTTGGTGCCATGCCAACCCAAGTAGTAAATGGGAACTCAGATCTATCAGACATGCATGGCACCGACTCCAAATATTAATTTGACTAAAGATAAAACAGGTTTAAATCTAAAGAAAATTTTACTTGAAAAAAATCCACGCGGACCAGGTAGCGGACGGGACTCGAACCTGCACCCCCCGCTATCCGGGCGGATGCATTGACCATTATGCTACCGTGGCCCTAAAATACATGTGCTAAAATCGCTAAAATATAACTATAAAGGGTTTATTTTTTCTGCTATTCAGTTTTTTCAGCGGTTTAGTATTTTGCTAAAACGGTTTTTATTCCACTATTTTTTCTTACATTGTTTGTTGCGATCTCCCATACATAGAACTGACGAGATTTTTTCTGCTCGATATTAAAATACCATAGTACCTATACTGTATATTTTTATATAGGTAACAAGCTTTTCCCCACGACTTCTTCCGCGTGGACTTAGTGATTCAGGTAGCAAATTTTTACCAAAACTGCTTTTTCACCAGTGTGCTATTTAAAAAAAATAAAGTTAGTGGTATTTTTATTTGAAAACATAAATATGGTGCGCAGTCGAGGTAATTTTATATTTAAAAAAATCGTGAAAGTCCCTGCGCAAAACAAAGAGTGCAAGTCAAGATCCAGTTATATTGCAAAAATATACATAAATCCTGACGTAGCTCAGATCGGTTTCAGAGCAGAACAGACAAACTTACAAAAGTATTATGAAAAAACCTAAAATTATTGTTTAGGATGGAAGTACTATAGGCGGTAAAAAGATTACTTAACGATGTGATAGCTTTAGGTTTGGCAGTAGTAATAATTACTGTGATTCATTAACAGATGAACAATAAAGTATACATTTTGGGAACCGGCAAAACTGAATTTCGTTTGATTTTGGTAAAAATAAGGATCGGAGACTTACAATATACTTTTCCGATAGATCCAAGAGGAACGTGCTGATTAGATAAAAACGTGACTTAAATGGCCCTTAGTAAAAGTATCTATGCACTACAGTAACAGTAAAAGGTCTGATAACGACCAATTAGCGATTATAAATGTTGAAGTCCTTTGAAAAGCAGAAAAACTGTGGTAAACACTGGTGATGCAGTAGGTAAACCATTTAGTGGAGTTCTTAAATACTGAATATAATGCAAATGGTATCCATATGATACACTTATACCACTGTTTGATACGCTTATCATATTTACCTAAAATTAAACTTTGTTTTAAATTTGTCATTGCAAGTCAGATACCTAAATATTAAACAGAAGGTATAAGGTAGAATAATTAAACAGATGAAGTATTGAACAACTTTATAATTGTTAAAGTCCTTCCATAAAAACAAAATGTTTGCCTTGTTTGAAGGTGTAATAGAATAGAACCAACTTTGAAATTAACTTACACGGGAGCATGCCACATAGAATTGACCGTGGGAGAAACAGTCCTGTCGTAGGTCTACTCCTACGAATTTGAGAGTTTGCCCCTGCGATTTATTTATGGACATGGCGAAACAGACATTCAGGGTAAACAGGAGCCTTTTGAATTCGAAGGGGAGATAATTTGGTATAAATGGAATACGTGGTATATGCACTGTTTCTCCCTGAGCACGTCCTGTCAAAATTGTGTATTTTACTACGTTCTGGTACAAATCTTTAACTTGCAGCCTAGTGCCTTTGCAAAGTTTGGGTGGCTTTAAATTTCTTAATGACTTAACAGGTGTACGTACATGCAGTAAAAGGAGTTCAGTGATATGTCATGATTGATCTCTGCTTGGTCGTTCTTTGGGATTAGTATAGCTCTTTTGCATAACCACTATATTGGTTTTTCGGAGATGAGCGAAAAGTTTGGATTTTTTTTTCAATTGTTGTTACTGAAATGCACACATGGAAAGGGTGAGATATCATGCCAACTTTTTCTGGATAATTGTGGATCACTTCATCTATTAAATGGTATGTGACACCTTCTACCTGCCATTCGAATTGTCGTTGAAAATCTTCTGTAAGATATTCTTTATATGCATCCCACAGACTAAACGAATCAGACACTTGGCAAAACACCAACATGATAGTAAAAAGCTCGCGTATTACATGTGGTGTTTGACACAATACTGCCGCACTCAATGCTGCATGCAAGTTATCGTCATTTTCAAGCAAGCACAAAGCCTGGTAATAAGACTGATTTTAACGCTTCAAATAACGTGGGGCCTCGAATTCCATGGAAGTAGCTTTCGAAGATGAAAACATTTCCTATTGTGGTGTGTATTGTTGAACTGTACCCGAAGCATGTTCTTTTTTTAATGCCAGGCTATCCATCTACGTTCACTCTACGTCTCCTTCTTTTTTTAGTAAATCATCAATACGACACAACTCAAAGAAGGCAATAAGTGTAGTTTTTGGTGGATTTGTAAGATTATCTGCGAGATTTTGCTGATTAAAATATACTCTTTGGTCATTTTTCAGATGAACCGCAAGATAGATACGGTAGGGAAGCGTTCATGAATTGGAAATCCAAGAATTTGCCATACCGCCGCTGAACTACGTATGTACCTCCCACTTTCGAAAGCCTTTACTTCATCTTTTTCATTTTATAAAGCAAAAGTGGCCAGGTCGGTTCCTTAATTTATGTATTTACAAACGTATTTTATTGATTTAATAGAATAACAAAAGTTAACATTTATATGCGCGTTAAATGTTCTCTGAAAAACTGGATTATATGGAACTAACTATTTTGAAACCCTCAATCCCTTTTTTAGGGAGTAGCTTAAGAAAACTTAAACTGATAAACTTTAGGTATAATTGATTAATTTTATATGTATTTGTGCCAAGTTTCAAGTCCATTAACCCAAGAAATACGATTTTTCATACAAACTCTCATCCTCTATTTAAATCTCTTCGGGGGTGAATTTTGCAATTCCTTTCTTAGTGTACCCGTAGACCTTATAAGTTACCTGCGTGCCAAATTTAGAGTCTCGGGACCTAGTGGTTTGGGCTGTGCGATGATATGTCAGTCAGTCAGTTTCTTCTTTTTTATAAATATAAAAACGGACGAAATTGGACGGGTTCGGTGGCCGGTTTTTCATACCATCTCAATAGATGGTACGGAAAAACCGGCTACCGTCCGACTCGCACTTGACCAGTTTTCTTAAAAGTAAGAAAAATCTAAGGTTTTCCCTCCGGTTTCTTACTAAAAAGCACTGTGAAGAAAAAAATATCTACTTTCTGAAAAAGTAATGAAAGAAAATCATCCAATGCACCGGACGGTCTTGCGAGTTTTGTAGGTGACGTGACTCAATCTAGTAAAACTATGTAAAAATTAAAGACATATTTATTTAACTAGGTAAAAACTTATAGTTAACTATTGCATAACAACTTACTATATTAATTATTGTTAAATAATATTAATAAATATATATAATAAACAATCTATCTAAGTAGTTGTAATAAGTAAGTAAATATTTGCAGTTTAATTATTATATTGATGACTTTTTAATGTAAAAGTAATAAAACACAAATAAATCCAAATTATAGATGAACATTCTAAATGAGTTGAAATAACAAAATATAGTCATAAAAAAGTTTATATCATTGCCTTTTAAACCAAATGTTTACTGCTACTAAGCACTTAGTTATTGATAAGATAACTAACACACTTTAACACGAAAAAATAGTCCTAGTAATAAATAACTTAGAAGTTTTTTTTTATAAACAGTAAGTATTTCAACGTGCTCTAAATTCAAAACAATAACTTATTTTATAATTAGCGTTTAAAAAGTATTTTTTCATTAAGTATTAATTGATATAGGCCAGTTGTAATAGATACGTTGGCCGTACACGGCTGCTTTATCACATTTTTTCATGGAAATTTTGTAGATAACATATTAAGCGGTACTTATTCAGTCTTTTACGACTCTTGTGATAGTAAGTTACTTCTTGGGATCTCTGTAAACTCCCATGAAGAGGATGGAACTAGTGGGCCTCTCGTAGATAACGTATACGAACGGGAAGTTGGCGATAAAACGACTCGGCTCGGCGGGCCGCGATGACCGGAAACCGAAGATGGCGGTCGCAGCCGCTGCTACTGTACCTGGAAGGATGTAACAAATCGTAATTGTAATTGTTAAAGTAATATTACTAATAATAATATTCCTGGGTTCCTGTTTTACAAAGGGTTTTATTTAAACGGTTAGGAAAGTAATCGTATTTTTTGTAGTAAATAATTTTAAATGGTAAGCCAAAATAGCTAATTCGGCAGCGGCAGGTCAGCGAATATTTCTAAATCAGTCTGCAATTTATATCATTCTGAATAGCAGTTATACTTATTTTACCACCGAAAATATTTAAAAGCTACAATAAGGGATCCATATTTTATAAATTTTGGTAAGAACTCAGAGAGTAAGCAAAAAATCAATTGTGTGCTGCTTATATAAGTCCAGCTAAAATATTATACCAAACTTATCATTCACAAAATGGGCGCATCCCTTACAAATATTTTATATTTATTTTCTCTCTTACTCGGTTAAAATAGTAATATTGGAATAGTGTGTGTGATGTAATAATTAACATTTTGCTTTATTTAATGTATTATTAATGCTCGTTTTGTATTTGAGTTTCCATTTTTCCCCTATGGGCGCCTATTTTTACCTATCATTGTTGATTTTTCAATAAAATAAACTATTTATGTCGCAAACCAAAATTTAAATACGCACATCAATAAAATACAGCGCTTAAAGAAAAGTTTTCTCTGCAGCCCAATTCTGTAATCTTACTGCCCAAATAATTATATTGCGTAGTTATGGTTTATTTTCAGATACACAATAAAAAAAAGCTGCCTGCTTATGTTTAAATTACTGACCATTATTATGATTGTGTACAGAACAAGAATTGCAGCCTGATTATTATTACTGCTAACAAAATCTTTGTATGCTGGCCAAATATTTTTAGGCTGCTTTTTTTTAATAACCAAAAATTTTAAATGGCATACATACCAAATAATTACTTCTATTTTATAAATACACACATTTGTATTAAATATGCCAGTATAATATAATATGATAGTAATTAATTATTTCGAGAAAATAAAAAAATGTTGCTTTGCTTTTCCAGAAAAAAGACAGCTTTTTCTTGAAAAGTAAAAGACCTTTTCAAGACGTAATTATTACAATTGATGTTTGAATTATTATTTCCATATTCGCAAAATGTCTAGTTTTTTCTAAGAAACAATGATATTATAATATCGTTGCTGAGAAACTTTATTCTTGGTATGCGACACCAGCATTCAAAAAAAGACAGGGAAAGGCGTCTATCTACAAGCAACATTAGCTACGTAATACAATTTCAGAGTGTGGTATCGATATATCTTTCGTCGTTTGCCCAAAACCCGTAGACAATACACGAAAACACCTACTGGAGAGGGAAAACCCTGCTTTTGGTTACACACACAACATATACACAATATCCGGGTCCGATATCAAATATTAATTATTTCGTACATAAAAATACTAATGGGCATCAAGCATTCGCGTAAAATTATATTTAACTTTGGAATCACTTTCATTTCATGGTTGGAATTTATTTATTTTTAAAAATTTGTGAATGATTTTACTGAAAAAACCTAGAAAGTTTCACAGAAAATTAGAAAATTACTTAATTCACAACTCTTACTGATAGGTGTACACTGCAGTTGAGATTAAGGATTTTCCTTATATTTTTAATGGGCAGTATAACGTCTGACGAGTCCGCTAGTTATTGATGACTAGCTTCCGCCCGCGACTTCGCCCGCGGTAAGGTTTTTTTAAGAATTCCACAGAAATCTAACAATTTTTCGAGATAAAAAGTATCATGTGTTGAGACACAGGTATTAAACAATATGTGTTCCAAATTTTATCCAAATCCGTTAAGCCTCTTTTTTGCGATTGAATAACAAACATACAAACTTTCACATTTATAATAATAAGTATGAAAATAAACTAACCTTCTTCGTCGAGCTGTATCTTGGCTTTGTGCACCGCATCATCGAAGAGCACGCCGCCTTGTTCAGTGAGCGTGCTGAAGTCTGCGCTCGCGTTGAACAAGTCGCCCACACCCACTACTTCAAGAATCTGGAATTGTTAAAATATAATATTTTTATTTGTTTTATGTGAGTTATAACAGAACAATTTGTCCGTAGGTAGGATTTGCAACGGCTGCCTGGGGCTGCCTAACCTTCATCTTGCAGAGGACCACAGTCAATTAACGTTATCTTTTGTTGGTACCGTTTATTTAGTCGATGAGTAAAGTCAGATATGAATTCAAAGTGACCTCGTTAACATAACTGAAGTCTGTGCTGAAGTTTTTTGCCGCATCAGTTGTGATTGAAACGGAGTACCGTCCATACATAACATTAACGTCTTTTATAACAAAACAGTGATGTTCTAGTAAGTTGAGGTGTAACAGATTTGCTTATGTCATATTGGCACTTACTTTTACTTTGAAAGGGATCGCCTAAAGACTGAAGCTAAGAACCCATGGTGCGCTTTTTTCCTGCGCCCGCCGCGGCAATGGGAATGCTGTTTTATTGTATAACTCACGAGACCGCAGTTTTCTACGGGCCCGCAGTCTATAAATTTAGATCGCTCCTTTTAGTCTCCCGCATAAAAAGCGCACAGCTCGCGGGCCAGACCCGCCGCGTCTACGGGTGATCGCGTCCTGTGCTCGCCCGCAGCGGAAATCGCAAACACACGCGCGCGCTCAGCCCACTCAAATCGCGACGTGAATTTTTCAGTTGCGATCCCGCAGCTGCGGCGAGCGCGGGGACAATTCACGCCGTGAGTTCTTAGCCTTAGCGTCAGCTCACACCGAAACGCGACGCGACGCTGCACAGAGCGACTAAAAACACAACTTTATTTACTACGTGAAAAGATACAATAGAACGAATGCAATGTATTCTGAATTCAAACAATGAAATGTGTATCTTTTCGCGTAGTAAATAAAGTTATGTTTTGAGGCGCTCTGTGCAGCGTGCAGCGTCGCATCGCGTTTCGGTGTGAGCTGACGCTTAATGTTAGAAACGCAGCCTATGCACTCCAATAGGGCAAACAAAGCGCATGTGATATTGTACCATGGACCTGTTATTTCGTTAAGCTTATAGTTAGTCCATGTACTGTACGATACCACAAATGTTTAAAGGCTATATAATCACATTAATATTATTTAAAGGTATATTATTTGTATCATAGGACAGTGGCCGCATTGCATAATGTTTGTTTGTGATAGTTTATTTAATCGTAACGTATTATGGTGGTGTAAAAGCGGGATAAGATATCACTATGGCTACTACCTTCCGGGTCAAATCCGTGTTGCTCTATGTATGGATCGAGAATATCTCTTTAAATAAATACCTCTCTGAGTGGCAGGCTTCTTTCTATGGTGAATTTGGGAATCTCGACGATGACCTCACGCCCCATGTAGCTCTCCTCCACGACCGCTGCCAGCCTCTCCGGAGTCAGGTTCTGGATTATGTTGGTCACTCCTAAAAGAATATTTATATGTATAAAAGTTTTTGAAAGTTTTTGAAAGCATGCTTACATTTGTGACATACAATCTAATGCAACTATAACTTATTTTTTAAAGCTCAGATAGCAATAATTTTACGTATTCTCTTATTAATCATATCAGAGATGAGACATTTTAAAAATAACAGTATATGAAATGCAAAATTCAAAATACCTTTTTCCATTTTGTATTTAAATACTTTTTTAGGAAAGCATTCTCTATTTTATTTGAAACACTTTTGATTTTTTGAATTTGCAAAATGCTAAATACTTTTTAACTAACTTCAATAAGGAGAAGGTTCTCCATTCGGTCGGTATATTTTTTTATGAATTCACACATTCACATCGATCACGCCGATATTTCTGATCCTATTTACGTGATTCTTTTTTGCCCAATGCAGAATAAATGCAATTTAGTCCCATAAAAAATTAATTCAGTTTCGCGCTGTTTTTATTTTATTAGCGTTTTTGTTAACTCCAAGTTAACAAGTTTAGTCAACAGCAACACCAATTTTATGGATTTTTTTCTAACTTTGGCAACACTGATCTGAACTGTTTTGTTTTCGGGCCACTAAAATAAAAAAGGTCAATATTTTTTTTATATGAAAAAGGGTGGCAAATAAGCATATTATTTCCCACCTAATGGCGGCCACAAAAGCTTATTATAGTGCAGGTTACTTCCACAGACAGGTGCTCCAATTCGAACGGAAAATCCGCTTTGCTCTCTACACATTATTTAAAACTAAAGGTATTTTATTTTAATAAAGTATTTTAGAAATGTGTATTAAGTATTTTCAATTAAAAATGAAAAACTATTTTGTATTTCAAATTAAAAAAATATAAAAAGTATTAACATTTAGTAAATACCTACAAAATTTTAATACGCTATAAAATGTTATAACGATATTAAATACCCTAGATACACCACGTCCGCTCAAAATGTGTCCCAATCAAGAAGTGCTTGAATTCCACTCAAGCACTTCTTGGTTCACAGTCACGCGCGGACCGTTCAAAAGTCAACATGCCGCAGAGCTCCGTGAAATAATGCGAAAAAAATACTTGTAGTATGTAAAGTGTAATTTTTTTGACAGATATCTAATCAATGATTGTGATGTTAACGCATTTGAAGCATTTTTTTTCTAATACTAACTATAAACGGATTTAATAGAAAATATTTGTGATGTTCAAATGCATGGTCGGTTATGTAGCCGTCTCTTTTCCTCGCAGTCCGTACCTGCTATATTGCTGACAGCGCATTCAGAATTGTGCCTAGACTCAAAGAACTAAGGTCTATATTCTTCCAAATATAGCAATAAGTCGTAAAATTTTACAGGCTTGCGTTTCGGACTGTCATAACTCTTTGACGCATGCGTTTTAATTAAGACCTTAAACAGTATGCATTAAAGGTGAATTTCAATGTTTAAATAATGTGTTATATTGTTTTTGACAACGCAATCATCTTACGGAGCTCCGTGGATCGTCTAATGGTAGCCATACACACTACGAGAAATCGTTACGATCAGACTGTACAGTTCGAACGGAACAGTTTATCGTACGTGGCGTACGTATAGGAAACTGTGCAGTTTTATAACATACACGCTACGATTTATCGGTACCGTTCGGACGGTACAGTCTAATCGTAACGATTTCTCGTAGTGTGTATGGTTATCATAATGTACCTTTTGGACAGGTTTCGGGCACGACTTTGTTCGTATCTAGGGTATTATTTAATTGCGTTGAGCAATACTAAAAAAATCTTAAAAAAATAAAATAAAAATTAATTTAAGTAAATACATTTTATAGCGTATTTTTCATATCTCTGTTAGTCATGCCTACCATGAAACTAATTTTAGTGCGTCTTAAAATTTTGTTGTTTAGACCTCGTAGCGAGTGACTAGTGTACAGTGAAAAATATAAAAAAAAATAATGTTATTACTACCTAAAGGGATATATAGGAATGAAAAACAACCTGCTAACAGCTGATAACCTACTTACCCATAATAGCAGAACATTACGTGATGGTTTTATTAATCACATCATCTGCATCGGTTATCGCAACTGAGTATGACTAACACTTAACATGACATGATGTTGTACGAGCAAGCGCGTACATATTTTAGTTGACCTAAAGTATAATTCATAATTAATTTTATTGCACAAAATCAGTTCGCAATCATCAGCTCATTAAGTCACGCGTATTCATAGCAATTATTATTTTATAGTTATTTTTAGTCCTTTTTCCAAATATACAGTTTTATACTTTTTATCAGTGTACTGAGGAGTAATTTGCTAAACCTTTTACAAAACCGAGCGGGTGCCCACGACCTATTAAATGGGTGATATTTGGGATAAAAAATATGTTGTCCTTTTCCGGATCTCAAACTATCTTTATAGATGACATTCATTAATTATATAAGGCAATTCTTGCTTGTTTTTATAAAATAAATATGGTCTCCCCCCCCCCCCCCCTATATCCCCGTATTCGCCTATATCGCCTTACTAAAAAATGAATAGCCCCTACTAAAAAAAATCTTGGTCGTTTCAGCAGTTTAAGCGTGACGAGGTAACAGACAGACAGAAACACTTTCGCATTGGATGTACTAGAAGTTTTCATGCCGCGTTTCATAGTAATATGAGGCTCGTATATGATACGGCGCGAACCCAGCACGATCTAACATCAATCATATATTTAATAATAAAGTTCCGTTGACATAATTTTTAAGCATACTATAATAATCGAGGAGCTTGATGGTTAGCGTGTTCGGCTGCGATCGTTAAAGTTAGGCAACTTTCGCAGTGGCCGGTCATTGGATGGGTGACCAAAAGTACTATTTTGAGCTCCTCCGTGCTTCGGAAGGCACATTAAATCGTTGGTCCTGGCTGCATCTGCAGTCGTTAGCACCCTCCAATCCTCACTGGGCCCACGTTAGTTGCTTACGGCAAAATCTCCCTATTCCATCCATAGAGAAGGCCTGTGGCCCAGCAGTGGGGACATTAATAAGTCGATGATGATGATAAATATCAAAAGCGTGGTTTACTCACCTTCCTTCATGGAGTACGGCGGCAGCAAGATGTACATGCTGATGTCGTTGCCCTTGTACGGCAGCTCCAGGATCTGTGCTCCGAGATCGTCGCTCACCACTGTAAAAGTAATGGAAAGAGATTGTTAACTCCTTTATAATAAAAGAAAAATAAACTTGAACCATGTAGCTAAATAGTGTTTTGTCGTTAATTCATCAAAGTAAAAATGTCTTTAAGTGTCGCCGCACACGGGCCACCAACCACAACCACAAAACGCCGCCACCGGCATATTTCTTGTAGTTTTCATACATTTTATATGGACTCGCCACACACGGTACGCCGGTGGCCGCCACACGCTACAAATCGTCGTTGCTCGCTTTTTGTGGCCCGCACCGGCCACCGATACAAAAGGCCGCCACACGTCACTCACGCGGTTCCCCACCCCTCTCTCCCTTACCTTAGTCAGCCGCTGTCGGCCACTTCGTTCACGTTCAGCCACTTTAGTAGCCGCTTCTGGCTTCTCGTACCGGCGTTTGTGGCTATGGCGTGTGGCCCGTGTGCGGTGACAGTAAGTGATGTGAACAAAACACGGCGCATCTACTCCGTGTTTATTTATTTTTTGTTATAAAGAGGGCTATTGTTTAAGGAACATTTGACTAATTTTTGTCTGGATATGTTCGGTTCACTAATTGGCCATACAAAGTAATTATTAAAGTGTTAGGTATGAACATCCCCAATAAATGTAGATAATAAAACTATTATTAATAAAATCATAGAACAATTTGCAGATATTTATAATTGTCTTTAATGCAAAAATATGAAATTAATAGGTAAACTGTGTGCCACACGCACACTTACTGCCCTAAAATGTTGCCTGATTGCAATGAAACTTATTTCAACTAGAATGCAATAAATTTTGCTACTAGTCTATCAGACTTACTGTAATGGAAAGTCCCCTTCTGCTTCATGAAATGCACTAGAGTTTGACGGGTCTCGGATACAAAGAAGGCTTCCTTCTTAGTTCTCTCGACAGGGAACTTGGACGCCCAGACTCCCTTGAAGTAGGCCGCATTGGCAAGCACCAGTTTTGTAGACTCGCTGACTCCGTCGTCGGGCAACAGGTCTTTGATATTGTTCTTGGTGACGCGTGACACCCACTCGTTAATGTAGTCCTTAGACTCCCGCGGATTGTCATGGAAATTCTGTAAAAAAAAAACATTTTGTTAAATTCTTTTGTAGAAAATTTGATTTATAGGTACAGCAGTTTTCAATTCTTTATTTTGCAAAATACTGGCTCATGCGCAGTGTAAATACAAACTTTAACTAAATTAGCTCACCAGCGCTTCCATTTCCTCCCCAAACAGCTGCAGCATACATTCGCGTACGCGCAGTTGTTCGTCGACGAACAGCTTATTGGCGTTGGTGAACTCGTAGCTGTCGCTATTGTTGTTCGCCGCGCGCGAACGCTTGTCCACCTTGTACGCAGTCATCAAATTGATCTTGTCCTATAACAGAGTTAGATATTTGAGTTCATTTTTAATGCAATGAATTTACTAATCAGCATTTTCGGATCTAAACTTTTCTTCGCCGCCGTCAACCTTAAATATATATTTTTTAAAAACCACCGAGCAAAAACACATAAGTAGGTAGGCCTTATAAGTAATCGAAGAAATTACTAAGCGAAGTGAACTAATTACACAAAGTGATATAAAGGGTAGCCCTCGAGAATCAGCTTTTTTTTGAATTAATAGTGAGCTAAACTAAAAATACCTACTGTTTCACCAACAACTGAATCATATTATTAAGAACAAATAAGCTTATTTAATGTTATAAATATTTCCATGAAACTTTACCCTAAAAATATTTAGCTAAGTGAAGGTCAAACTCGGTTGCAATTGGCTAAATACTATAGACATATAAGACATATATCTTTATTATGTAAACCTGTTATCACAAAGCTTGGGATAGCTAAATTTATATTTGAGGTTCTCAATAACAGTTAAATGACAGAGGTATGTCATACTCACTAAGTTATCCGAAAGCTGCAGAGAATGTTTCAACGACTTCTCTGTTTCACCTCCAGCAGAAAAATAAGCGAGCAATAATGAATGGTAGACTGAGAACGGCGAGAAGAATATGTTGTCATTGGGCACAGCTTTATTGATGGCGTTGAACAGATTGAGAGTGAACTCTAATTGTCCCCGGTAGAGGTTCGTTCGCGCTTCTGGGTCCAACTTCTTAGATGAGTCATCCTTATAGAAACACTGCGAGCTGACCGTGGACACGGCCAGGAGAGCTATTATAGCAATTTTCATAGTGTACCTGGAACAGAACAATTTAACGCTTTACTATCAATTCAACCTTGCATTACTCTAACAATCGGAAAACATCAAATGTTTTTTTGCAAAAAAATGCTACAGTGTGACTCCGCGCTTAAATACCATGTACATTTAAATACAAGGAAAACACTGCACTACCCAAATGTACTTTTTATGTAGAGTTTTGCACAATGACTCATTTTTTTATAGTTTTTTGCAGATTAGTTTATTAATTCAGTGAATAGTAATTATAAGAATTACAGAGTGTAGAAATGCATCCTAAAACAGATCAATGACTAAAGTGTTGGACCAAAAAAGTGTCCGTAAACAAAAGAAATACGTTCCTAGCTAAAACATTATTTATAAGATAATCTCCAAAACTTCTCTTTCCGTCGATTCTACTATAACTTCTGGAGGATATTAGCAGCTGGTGCATTCTATATTATTGTATCTCTCTAATCCAAGTAAAAATAGGAGTATAGATAAATATATAACATAAAAAGCAAATTGATTGATAGTTATCTATAATGAGTTTTTGTAAGCGAATAAAAGCTGCTATTACAATCGCATTTCAATATGGATCAAGTGCCAAAATGCTCGAAGTGAGGCGATCTCCATTTGGAGTAGATGCATTTCACTTCGCTTTCTCCGCCGAGCGGGGGCGAGGCAAGCGGCCGGCGGTCTGTTCTGTCTGCATTTAGCCAACGCCGTCGTTAATTCAGCATGGCACTATATGTATTCTTCTATGCAAAAAAACCTGCAGAACAATTACATACCTATTCAATAAGTTTTACTCAGAGTATTTTCACCCACCAACGGGACACAAAATATATTTACTGATTATTAAATATTGATCCTTGGATACCTACATAGATAGTACGCTTATAAATAGTTTTAGTATGTTGTATTATGATGCAGTTAAACGGCATTCGACCATGGAACTTACTCAATTCATGATTATTGTAATATATATAAACAACTAGCAAACCCCGCGAACTCCGTTTCGCCACCAAATGGCTTCGTTTTATGTAACATTTCGTTTGGCGATTAAATTTTTTTTTTTAATTTTTCCTGAATTTTCTTTGCTATAAACCTCGCGGAGCCCGAGACCTTTCCAACGAATGCAAAACCGTGGAAATCGGTTCGTGCGTTCTGGAGTTATAGCGTCAGGAAGGAAAACCCGACTTATTTTTATATAGTAGATTGATTATTAGAATTTTTTAAGCGAAACGTAATAAGGATAAAAAAAACAGTAAGTGAAACGGGTTATTTACCATCGTTTTTTTGCGGACTGGGTGATATTTATCCTTGCTCGTTAAAACTACTGACTCACTACATATCTACAACAATAGAACGCAACTTATTTCTCAATGCCACGGCACAGTACGTCACTTAACAGTACCTGACAGGTGGATTCCTCTTTACACGAAACAGATGGCCGAATCTATGCGAACGAATTTGTATGCAGAAACGTAGTGAATGTTCAATGAGATTCTAAAATAACATTAAGCATTTCTGTCGGACCTATTTATATAAAAAAAACATATTTATATTTAACTTGAATGGCATCCAGAAAGATTATAGATTTTTTTTTTATAATCAGCAGCACTACCTTGCTTTTTTTTGTATTCATCGAAATACTTAGGCGCTTACCAGTTATATAAATTAAAATATTTCTAAAAATTTCAGCCATTATGTATAAATACATAATATTATGAAGAGAGGTATAAATAAAGTTGAGCAAGTATGTATTATCAGAAACCGGTATTATCCCATTATTGAAATGAATCTCCTTATAAGGCAGGCAACTGACTTACGGTTTACGCACCGCATACGTCAAAGGAAATCCCACATTAGTGTGCATTCGAATACATGCGCATGTACATTGCTATTAAAGCTGATAACAGGGTTTAGGAAAATTCGTTCCTTACCAATATTTATATAAGTAAACTTAAACTATTTCTTTACAAGTTTATTTCATGCTTTTCGTTAAACATATATTTTCATGTTTAAACCGTACCCTTAATCGAAAATAATAAGGGGTTTTATTTTTCGGTTTACTTAGGACCATCTAATTATTTGTTGTTTCTATTTTTTTTACTAAGTTTATTTTTTTCTGTATATTTTCTGAAACGTGTTTTTGAAATTATCTCTTACATATTTCAGAAAGTTGAGATATTCTGATGAAAACAGAGGAGGTTCTCAACCAGTCGGAATCTTGTTTTTAGTCCAGCCTTTTCTCGTTAACAGTAATAAAAATATGATTGTGTATTAATAACAATGACTAAATAAAAAAATTAGAGTGATGAGCTAAGTATTAGCCCCAAAAATAATTAAGTGGGATGTTACTGAGGAGCTAATAAGACAGTTGCAACAGGTATAGTGCGTGGTGAACTTGTGACGGTGTAAAATTTTTAGATACCCTTAATTATCTGGTTCAAATCAATCATATTTCAGAAATTGTTTGCTTATAACATGGGTGATCCAGGATTTCCCCTTGAAGCTATATGCTAACACCAGAGGAGTAACGCAAGCAGCGAAAGCCGGGTGACTCGTCGTAACAAGTTACACAACACAGCCGGATTCACAAACCGTGTCAGTCAGTGTATGCGTATGACTAAGATTTCGAACAAAGGTTCTTTAATACAATTTTATGAAACATCTTTTTCCACACGTTGCGTAGCTTGGTCACACTTTTTTCTGATTACGTGATTTTTATATCCATAAAGTTTACGCTTTTATGAATATTTCCCAATATTTTTCTCATTAACGATAAGGACTCCTTGAATAATCGAATGAATAATAAAATAAATTAAATGTTCATGGTAACTAAGTTCTTATGTAATTTGATGGATGAAATTTTTCTTACTTATAATTTCAGAAGGTCGTCACATCAAATGGTCCAAAATTATTCATGTTGTCGAATTGATTTGATGAAAGTATGAGACGAAATCATGTAGAAAAAAATACAATTACGATTATAATGAGGCTTAACAAACGACCATTGAACATACATATTCAATTAATATTCATTGGATAAAATCCTATCATAGGAAGTCACCTATACTTAGGTTATTGCTATCAAAATATAAAAGCTACAAAAATAATTCAAATATTGAAATCATTATCCCTACTTGCTTGGTATTGTGTTACAGTGACTATATGTCGCTTATTAACAAAACTAAATTAAATACTTTTTAATACTTGCATCTCAAAACTGCTATCGTCGTCTGTACAATAAATAATAACATCAGTCATAAAAACATGAACGGTGGCTCCGTGGGTTTTTCAAAGGCGAGTAGAAATTGTATCAGTGTCACCATATTGTGCGGCTTTCAAGTCCATATTGCGGGTATTTCCAGTGAATTTCATTAATTTAATTATATCCATCTCACGACAAAACCGGATATGAGTCATGGTGCGAGCGATACTTGAATGAAGTAATGCAACAAATAGCAAGAGTTCGCTTTGGTTTCATACAAGAAAGTGAAGTTAATGAGTAGACAATTCAAGTGATAAGAAATAGTCTACGCTGCCTTGAATATCTATTTACACTTCCTAATTAAAGCAAATCTCAGAGCTTTTATTAAGATGCAGTGTATAATGGTCTTTAGTATTAAGCGCACAAATCATAACTTCGAATCTCTTCTAATTTAAATTATGATATCACTTCGGAGCTTGATATGACATTCATCATGTTATCCAAAAACCAGATGCAAATACTGCATAATTTGTTTGAATTGTCATGATGATATTCATAATTTTGCTAGGTTTTGAAATTTGTTTCAAAATCCACTTTTAGAATTTTATCTTTGCATTGCTTCATTGAATTTTAGAGTCACCAAATGATAAATCAGATTGAGGCATCTTGGGCTGGTTGCCTTTATACTTAAAAGTAAAAAAATCAGGTAATCATACGGTGTGTTTTTCCAATAATTAGGTACGTATGATTCTTCAAAACTTGAACTCTGATCACGAGGGTCTCTGAAAGAGCAATTGCATTCTCTGCTTGATGTCACACTATCGAATTAGCTATCACTACCACCTAGATAAGAAGACCATCTACCAGTGTAGAAATTAAGATAACCCTTGATCGGAGATGTATCGAAGTGTAAAACATTATTACTCTGGATCTGAAATAAAAATGAGTATAGGCAACCACATTATTACCACATATTATACTCTTTATTACATCATATAATTAAAAACAAAGTCAAATACATCGTTAGCAAAGGTGGGCTTATCTCTAAAAGAGATCTCTTCCATTCTTATTAGAGATAGTTGATTTTTTTATAAAACTTTTGGCTTTATCGCGTTTACCCATCAGCCAAGGAGCAGGCAAGTGTTTAATTTTTACTGGACGTGCTGGTGCGTTAATGTCAAATAATTTTAAAAGCCACTATGGTGAAGTATTCAACCATATCATCAATGTTATTCGAGTTTAATACCGGAGACCAATTTATTCCCCTCACATCAGCCCTCAAGCGATCGAGAACCATATGTCGGAAGTTGCGTAGAAGACTAACTTTAGGTTTTTTTGGGAGGACGCACTTTATGTGACAGAAAAATAAGATCATGATGGGAAAAGGGAGCACACATTTGGCCGTGAGTACCCACTAAGTCAGGACGAGATACAAAAATTAGGTCCAGAAGAGAAGGTCTGCAATTTGGAAGAAACTGCGTGGGAGAAGATATATATATATTAAGAGAAGTTAGAATATTAAGAAGCTTATGTGCTCTGATGTCATAAAGACATTAAGGTCCCCCATTAGAATAATGTGGTAATGTGACATACATTGCTATGAAAACCATCTGTAAGTTTAAATCAAACTAAAGAAAATTTTACTAGAAAAAAAGTCTACTCGGTCCAGGTTTTAGACGGGATTCTAACCCGCATCTTCTTCTATCTAGACGGACTTACTATAGTGAAAGATGCAGGTTCGAATTACGTCTAAAACCTGAGGCCCAAGCACGAATTTTTGGCAGCTCCGTAACCTATTGTCATCATCAAATTTTGTATGGAAAAGGCTAGTTTGTTCTTGCGCCCGACAGGGGCGCTGCTTTGTTTTCATAGAAACTTTGATGATGCGATACGTTACGGAGATGTCCAAAATTTTTGCTTGACCTCTAGACCGAGTGGATTTTTTTCTAGTTTTTTCTTTAGATATAAGTATCCAGCAGTTAAATGCTTAAAAATATATAATAATTTGATAGTTGTTAAATTCGAAAGGATTACTGTACTAAATAGTCCCCTAGACCCAAAAATATATATAAAATAGTTTTTTTTTACGCTGCTCAGACTGGGAATAAAACGCTGTTCCTCAAAAATGACAATGACATATGCGATGAATACATCTCATACACACGGAGGTCGCCTAATGGAAACATCACAAAGGCATTTGAGACAAACAATAATCCTATTCTGATTTTTCTTCCATATATTCACAATACCGAAAATACGGAGGTCATATCTACTTGACACAACAGCCAGCTTAAAGGAAACTTTTTCCAATTTATGGTAATGTGACCTCTATTACTATTCCGTAAGGTTCATACCAAACGACGATACGGTACACTACGTAACTTTTGCATAAGAACCTCGATGCGTTGGGGCATTTCAATGGAATACTAATAAGCCCCACTTCACAAGACCGGTGTTATTTTTTAGTTTGTCAATTTTTGTTCTATTTATAATCTTACACTAATAGATAAGCGGTACATGAATATTGCTAATAATTATGCTTAACCTCTTTTAACCGTAGAGATTAAGAGCAAATAGTTTACCGACTGACCCTTTTATTCATATGAATGTATATAAATCTAGCACATTAGTACTATTTGCACCAAAATATAATCTAAGAGCCGTTATAAAAACTCTGATACCTCCATTAAGCTTCATAACTAATACATACATTCTTCTTCCTAGCCGTGCACTCTTGACAGAGTGGTCGTGGTCATGTTTCGGTCAATTCCTGAGCCACTGATGCAATTGTGATGCGTCGCCATGCAGCTCGATGTTTTGCGGAGCGCGAGCAATCATTTACGCTGGAGCCGCCGATTTAAATAGGTCTATCCACCGTGTCGCAGAGCGCCCGCGAGACCTTATGCCCTCAACTTCCCTTGCACCACCAACCGTTCTATGGAGTTCTCATTACGAGTAATATGCCCGTAGAATTTGAGGATTCATATTTACACAGTCGACGATAATCTCTCTTTGATGTTTTGTTCCCTCCAGATTAAAACGTTAGTACTGCGCGCGGTCGCGAACGTCTCAAACACCCCATTTCCAGAGTGTCAAACTTGCGACGGTCTTTCGTTCTGAGTGTCAATCTTGCGACGGTCTTTCGTTCTGAGTGTCCACGTCTCAGCTCCATATACAAAGATTGGAAAAACCAAAGGATCTCATTAGTCGAACCTTTGTGTTTTTGGTTATCCTACAGTCTCTCCAAATCTTTGAGAGTTTTTCCACTAATGACCTAGTCATGGCGCAACGTCTTGGAATTTTATCCTTGCAGCCTCCATCGCTGGTGGGTGGGTAGGAGGGTAGTATCGTCGGTATATCTTAAGTTGGATCTTTTCGGCCTCCTACGGATTCCTCCTACTCCGAAGGATATTCCTTCACCCCAATCATCAAGAACAATCCACATTATATACTCCGTATATATATTAAATAGAGGAGACAATATACAACCCTGTCTTACACCGGCCTGTGTTTTGAAGTGCTCAGAGTGTCGTCGTCCACTCGGACAGCTGCAGTACCACAATTCCCACAATTTGACCGTATCGAAAGCTTACCTGAAGTCAACGATGCACACGCAGAGGGTGATGTTAAATTCTCTGGCTTTTTTTTACAATTTGTTCTCATGTTTTTATCAAGCCTCATGTTTTTAATGTGCAGCGAGATTTCACTGGCATGGGATGTGAGAGAAATGAGTTTGTAGTTGCTACACATGTTTTGTTGATCCCTTTTTGTGCAGTGGGATGAATACAGAGTGGGACCAATCACGCGGCCAAACTCCGGTGACCCAAATTCGACAACAGATGATGTGTAGCATTTCTACTCCGATTTCCCCCACAGCTTTTATTGTTTCAAGCATTTCTTCTCACTCATGACTTAAAGCAACTGGTCGATCAGCCCACCACAGGATTCCGTATATTCCAAGGCAAGCACCTGCATTACTGGACTTTCTGATTACGACCCATCCACAGGACTATCAGGTTGTGGTAAGAGCCCCCCTAGGCTCGCCGGATCACCGCCTGATATCTGCCAAAGCGCCACGGGCCAAGTTGCTATTACTGAGTAGATTCTAATGGTTATGGAATACTATATTCCTCATTCTAATCTCATCAGTAAGGGCACACGTAACCTCGGTTTCAATCCCGACTATGCTCTCTTGAGGATCCCGAGGTCGCTTCACTAAAAGCAGCATACAATTTTACTTACGTAAAGTTACGTATGTATCTTTAATACCACATTATTAAAAAAAGGAAATTAAAAAATGTGGTGAACCACCCTTATAGGGGTATGAAAAATAGATAGTAGCTTATTCTCAGACCCGATTTCCGCGGTAAAAAGTGAGTTTGTTCCTACAGAATAGCACTACTGTTCATATAATTTTAAAATATTATGTCATTTGAGTGTGGTGAACAAAACTTCGTTTATAAATGAGGGGTACCGTTTATGCTATGTTTGACTATGGCGTTCAGTAAAAATTAAGAGTTAAAATATGCTATCTACTATCACTTTTTTCATTAATAAATCTATTGCTATTTCCTTAAATATTCTAAGAAAAACAGGAGGAGATGCATGTAGAAAAACAGTAGAACAGGAGAAATTTCAGAAAAACAGGAGATCATCTCCTGTAAAATCTGGAGACCTACCAACACTGAGTGGGAGTACTTGCAAGGTTGCTCTCCATATGTTATTCTGCCTGCCGCGCTCGAGTAAATCCAAAAATCCCCGCTTGGGCTCCCCTACTACCATAGACGCTTGTGATTCAATAAAATATCACTCGCGCCGTTGCCTAGGTTTGTTTTTTATATGAAAAGGGTGAGTAACATGCATATCGCACACCTGATGGTAAGCTGCTGCCAAAGCCTATAGACACTTGCGATACCACTGTTTTATTTGTGCGTTACCTGCTCACCGTAATCCTATCCCCAATCTCGTGGAACCCGAGTGAGTACTATTAAGGAATCACGAAAGAATTTGCCTTATAACAACAACAGGATAACTGTCCTAGCCTGACCTATTTAGTTACTCGTAGCTACAACGAATCGTAGAGCTATGGGTATTTGTGTGAGACTTGCTCTTGCGTAAAATTCGTCATAGTAAATTAGAAAGCGTGCATGATAATCGCTCACCGGTGTTTGGCCTGCGTTATTTACATTAAACCGAACCATTTTCAATCAGTGTGGACTATACATGTGATTTTTTTATCACCTTCCATGGGAAATTCAATGCATCAAAGTATAAATGTTGCATTTTGATTATCTACTTAGTTTATGCGTAGCATTGTTTGCTTATGTGCTTAGTTCCCTTACAATTCTCAAGTAATTTAAAAGGTTAAACAGGTCAGAAAACCTTGACCACACGTGAATTCAATCAAGATTTTTGCCTATAAAACTGCTCTTAGTACAATAAGAGCACTCATTTTATCTTGAAAATAATATGATTATCTACATGTTTTTTTCTACATAAGTAGGTAGGTAACACCCAGTTTTGTCAAATTAATACCATATATTTCTGGTAGGATATCTTCTTGACATCGTCTGCTTACAGTAATAAGTCCACAATGAACCCAGAACAACAATTTGGTCACTAAAAAGAAAAACAAAAACATCACTTACTCACCGTGTTCTTATATGATGTCCAATTTTCTTTTTTCAATCACTGGTGCAGTTGATTTAAAAGTTATTTGTTAATATTTTTAGCAAGCCTTAAATATGATTATTATACTGTTATTATTTGGTACTATTGTGGACGTTTAAACTCATAAACGCATAGCGTATGGCCGTAGCGAGGCCCGAAGACAGACTGACTGGAAGAGAGCCGGTTGCTATTCTCTTTTATGTTAAGTATAGTAAACTGGTATGCGCCCAGGCCGGTGGGTGCGTGTCAGCAGCTTCTCAGGTAAACTTTATAGAATATTGTTCTCCTATTCATTTACCCGCCCACACAGTGGGATGCCAAATCAAAACACTCCATACAGATATAATCTGAAAATAATTAATCGCAGCAAATATTAACCGTTATGCGAGCTGGCCGGGTAACCGTTATTACCAATGTGATTGACACTAAAAATGAAAACGTGCCGTTTAAATGAGGTCAAAAGTGCAGAACTTTTTGCAGTTCGGCCTGTTATTGATTCTGGCAGGTCATGTAAAGATGTAGGTTTGAATGATTTGAAATATTTACAGAAGTTATTATACCTGCCTTTACCAAGGCACTAACTATAGATATATTTACATATGAGAATAGGTATCTATACTTTCTGTATGCATAATTTCCAAAATTAATCATTATCCCCCATTGTTAATAAACGAACAAGCTTGGATTAGTTACTCCATCTATTGTCTCTGTTTATTGAATTACAAATAGCATCTGAGTGATATCAACAAAACACGGCTTTACTAGTCTAAGGTTATTCCTCGTTTATTAATTAGGGGAGATAATTCAAATTTTTTTTTATATATGTACCTAAAGAAATCCAAATAATTTTCCAGAAGGAAAAACTATAAGCTACTAACTACTTAGATTTTTTTAGAGTAGGTAGGTACTTAAGTTATAAATTGTTTAGGCAATAAAAACGTTTCTATACCCAAAATAATATTAGTGCCTATTACTTTTTAGTTATCATGATTATTGGATCTAGCCCGATTCCTAACAATTATTTGTTATTTTCCCGATTCTTACTAGTCTTTTACATTCTCCTTTTTAATAGTTCCTACTAGGTATGTAGGGCAAATGCCCCTCAAAGTCCAAAACATCCAATCTTATCTCATTAGATTATTCTATTAGACCTTAACATTTCACTTTCACGTCATCATTGATTTGTCACTTAATATTTTATTCACCACTAGGGTGACCTATTTCATACAAAGCTAGACGCATTTATTGATCAACACATTTTTGGTTTTTTACATTATACCCCCACATCTTCAAAGTACTGGTCGCACTTCTTATTTTTCCAAAAATCCAGTGAGGGTTTATGGAAAACAACCCGACAAGTGCGAGTTGGACAACAAAGTGATCCTATAAGTGTTCCTCTTTAACTTTTTTTTATTTTTATTGACCAAGATAAAATAATAGTACAAAAGGCGGACTTAATGCTATTGCATTCTCTTCCAGTCAACCTTTGGGAAAATCGATAAACAAGAACGGTGGTATAATGCTAAGATTAGGTAAACAATATGAAATAATTATAATTAATAAATATACATACATACATAGCATAGATTTTTCAGCAGGTAAGAGTTAACATTCCATTTAAATAAAAGTTTACCAAGAGATCTTCTTATGGAGGCGGATCTTCTGATGGAGGTTATTCCGCAGTCATATAGCCTGAAGAGTAAGGCCGTTGGACAAAAAGCTAGAATGAGAAAGAAGAGTTTAGATTGCTAGTGAATCAACAAACTAGAGATTCTGAAACTTGCATTTCAAGTACTCTGGAGAATGGGGATTGGAAATAATTGCATAAAGAGTGCAGAATAATCTTAACATTTTAGTTGGGATTCATATACATCTCAACTAAAATGGCTTCCTATTCGCCAACGCAGGCAGTTAAGATCACTTGGAAACATTATCAAATTCGCTGAGACAAAAGATGAAAAGATAAGCGTTATTGATAAAGCGGTCCAATATATTGAGAAGATCTGCATTTAAATCAGGAAAACAACAATCATCGCCATAATCAAAGAGTGGTAGAATAAGGGTCGTAACGAGAGTGATCTTGGTTTTTATGGGGAGAAAATTGCTGAAGCGATTTAGGGTACGCAACGAAATAGTTTTGTTAAAACTTAGCGTTGCATCATCATATGAAGGCCAAAATTCAGACCCTGAGACTTAATGGAATTGTAGAACCTTCAAACACAACAGGTGGGAGCAAACCAAAATCAATCTGGAGTTCTGCTTGGAACCACTCACTACGATTGCCTGACATTTGGTAGGGTTAACAGCCATTCCAAAGTCAGCAGACCAAGAACTTACATTGCTGAGATCCCTATTTAGCTGAGATTTGCCAACAGCAATTTCCTCAGCAGTCGTCTGCACATAGATCTGCAAATCATCAGTAATGATAAAAGTAACCAAATAAAGAAAGAAAATTAATGAATAAAAGAGAAAAGGGGAAAGAATACCACCTTGGGGAATACCTTGTCAATTCACAGTCTTTGCGCACTGTCTGATGGCGATCAGAGAGGTAAGATGAGAAAAAGTACAATGGTGTCAATTCTGGCATGATTCTCTAAACTCAAAACTAAATTTCATCAGGCTCTCCTTTTCATTCAGTATAGAGAATGACAAGGATACACTGTTATCAAATTTAAGTTTAGGTTTAGAGAATCATGTCAGAATCGACACCAGTAACCGCCTAAATTGTACATAAGAAGCATTGACCTTGCTTTTGAGGTAAGGGAACCCTAAAGAAGTAAAGATTCTAAAATAAAATAGGGGAAATTCTTTAAGTCAGTGAGGATTATTCTTGATTAGATAATTTAATGATGACAATTTGGTGATAATCGAAATGTTAGATACTCAGACCCATAAATTATAAATAAATCCCTAATCTTTCTGAATCTTATTACTTTTTATTTATGATCTTTTATTATCGTTATAATTTGATCTTATTTTGTTAATATGGTGTAGGACCTGTGCGTATTTTAAGAGTGCCATTTTGACAAGCAGCCAGATCTTTTTACAGTCAGTATGTTACATACAATGGAGAGAGAAAGAGCGAGAGAGAACAAAATATCCAAATCAGTTAGTGACGCTTACTTATTGCTATATTCCCAAACTATAAAATAATTAGTACCTAGACATCAGACATTGAGAAGGGATGTTATATGAACCCTCTAGTAGCTTATATTCAAAAGACTGACGATTTGGGCACGACAAAAAGTCATGACCGGTTGTTGAAATTTTGTTTTTGCTGCCCTAGACGTTCGGCCCTACATAGAGGGCTCAGGTATGGTGGGAGTACTTAACTAGGTGCAAGGTTGCTCCCCATGTTATTCTGCCGCGCTCCAGTATATCCAAAAATCCCCGCTTGGGCTCCCCTGCTAAAAGTGTAATGGCCTCATTTGTACAAAATGTTGTAAGAGAAAAGTCGTCTTTGTGCAATCTCCTAAGAAACTGAAATCGTTAATGACGATATAGTAGACATATTTCTTTCCTCAGACATGTCAGGTAAGTTAAAGGCGATAAGCGTAGGTATAAAGAGGTACATACCTATAGGAAATGTGAAAGCTTAACAATTTCTTAAACATACACATGTTAGTTTTTAGAATTTTTAAATGTCATAGAAGAAAGTGCTAAACTTTACGAGGGCACATGTTCGCTTAATATTCTTGTGAGTTTCGTTAACTTATGTGTGTTTTAATTTCAATATGAAATCCGAATCTGCATATCGAAAACGTTTTCACTAACTGCAACAAATAAATTCGAACACGTCGATTTTTGGCCGTCGGCAACCTAAACAGTGGGAAACGCCTGTTTGATACTACCAGACTATTGAACACAATGAGTACATTGTTCAGACGATTTTAATACAACGATAAATAAAAATACCCACTTTCACCGAATCTGGTTTCACTACCAACTTTTAATAGGCAGTGCACATTGTTGTACGTACGCAGGTATGCCTATCACATTTACTGTTTTTTGTCATTTGTCAGAATAACATATTTTTTAAATATTTAAGTAAAAAAATATTTGTTCTTTAAGGGCACGGATCTGAATAAGGGTATGTCCACCACAAACAACTAGAGCAGTATTTCTAAAAGTGGAATTGTTAGTACGTAAAGTAAAAGAACTTTTCAATTAACTACTAAAGGGTACATGACCCATTCACGTAAGAATATACCAAGGGTTTTTCTTCCTTAAATGTTCTTTGACGCGAGTCCGTCATTATTTTTTTTATTCCCTGCCTGCTCTGCAGAAACACTGAACACAGCTTCTCTGAAAATATTTCATACTTGGCATGACCTGCGCAGGCCTGCCTTGGCGGACAAATAAGTCCGCGGAGTCCACTGTTACAGTAGCTTTCTTCCGAATTTAACTGAATTATAGAATACCTTAGAATAAGTATTGGACTTCTTTTTAATTTTTATTAATAGTACTTATTTTTTTTAAGAAGTCGGGTTTTTTGATTTTTTATTTACCTTTTTATTATAAGACGGTAAATACCGCAATCTTGTCATTTCAATGAGAAAGTATATGTAATACGATAATATAGTTTCACAACTTTCTGATGTAGATACTCCTCCTCCCTTAGGGTGCGGCCAGAGTGCACTCAGATTCAGATTCAGATTCTGAAAACAAGCGCGAGAAATAAACAGTGTAGTCTAAGCAGGTTGCGTGCTTTTTCTCGCGCTTTGTTTTCTGAGTCTGAATCTGAATCTGAGTGCACTCTGGCCGCACCCTTACTCTACCCCGCAGCACCGCTTAGATTAGTAATACGACCGTAATAAAAAAACCGTAAAGAATACGCACGGCGCCATGTATGGGAGGAGGAGGAGGGATTTGGATGGCTTGATTAATGTTTGGTTTGCTCGTAATTTTGAAAGTTCGAACAATGCACAGTGTTTTATGCAACCAAAAAAATTTACACCTTAAGATTTTTGCATAAATCAATTATTTATACCCTAATAAAGGCAAGAGTTCAATTCTCAGATCACTATTTCCATTAAAAAAAAAGATATGAAGTAGCAAAGTTTTTGAAATTTGAGCATTAAAAAATTAACAATTTAATTTCCTCAAAAGACGGTTCCATATCTGTACATGAGATATTTGCCACTTGATAAGGAATTATTGAAGGCATAATTTTGCAATTTTATTTTATTTATAAGTGTCCTAGTTTCCGAGAAATATTTCTTTTTTAAATTTCGATTTTTAATTTTTTTCTCCAAATATCGGCAAAAGTGGAACCTGGATTTAGTACAGAAAGATTCTATAAGCCAAGTTCTATCACCCATAAAAAAATCAGGTTTCATTTTTGCGGTTTTAAGAAGTTATGACAGAATTTAGATAAAGGTCAACTTTCATGATCTAGGATTGTCACAAAGGTCAACTATGAGTTAAATGAAAATGTTAAATTTTTTGTTTGTTAATTAATACCGT